GTTACGTCGAACGTGCCACATGCGGACGTGCACTGTCGTGAAAAAGAAGAACACCTTTCCGATTGACGAGTGAAGGGTGTTTCTAATGAAGGGCTTGATTTAAACATTCCAGTTGCTGACTATAGATCTCTGCATTGATAATTCCCTGTGGATTGAGGAATTCGAAATTAATTACTCCTTTGATGTCCCACCAAATGCAAAGCATCACTTTCTGCAGATGGAGTCCACGTTTTGGGGTCGAAAGTGGTTTTTGTTTAGGACTGAGCCATTGTTTTTGTCATTTAATATTCGCATAGATAATCTATTTTTCATTACCAGTGACAATTCTGTCCAAAAATGGTTCACACGCATTATGCACCAGAAGAGATGAAGCAACATTCGCACATTGGATACGATGATCATCGGAGAGTTCATGAGGCACCCAAACACCTTCTCTATGGAGTTTCTCATATTCCTTAGATGTTTACATATTGTTTAATGAGAGAGATGCAATTTCAGGGACATTTCACGAGTGTGTTGCCTTGGGTTAGACTAAACAAATCTTCAGAGCATCAATATCAATTCCAACATGTTTTAAGGCTAAAGTCACCTGAACGAAATTTGCTGAACCATCGTTGACACTTACGAACGTTCAAAACATTTCCATAAACTCCTTTGATATTCTTTGTGGCTATAGAGGCATTGTTTCCCTTCTTGTAATCAAACAGCATTATATTCCGAATGTGTTTCTCATCGTGTGCCATCATTATAAGGGATTGTTTTTGAATTTCGTGCAAAGCTACACGAGGGCTATCTGCACTAGCCATCCTCAATTTAGCAGTGTAAGACTAGAGGGAAGGCAACTAGTCATCACCACACACCATCAACCCTTTTACCAACGAATAGTGAGATTGACCTTCACGTTATAACGCCCCCACAGCTGAAAGGGCGAGCATGTTTGGTGGGACAAGGATTCGAACCTGCGAACTGCAGATTGCGAGTCGAGCACCCTAACCACCATAAAGGATTAGAGTATACTAAATTTTACACGTTGTATAGGCTACACTAACGTCACGTTTCGTTTAACTATTATGCGCGATGTACGTTGTTTGGGGTTGGTTAATGAAAGTGTTCCAAAACGTGACATTAATTTCTTGACGACCTAATAGCACACAATGTGTTCTGCGGGTTGTTTTGGCTACTGTGTATTTTGATCAATCCAGTAGCTTTGCAAAGACATTTCATTAGTTAGGTGTATGTCTCATAATTTATATTGCAACAGTGTACTGAAAGTTATACGTCTATTTTGTTGCGGAGATTATGCTTAAAGATATGTTTAAGAAATTGTCTTAACAGAATATGGCTGAAGAAAGAAAGCTACAGTGAAAAGACTTGGAAACCATCCCTAATTTAGCAATGAAAGACTAGAGGGAAGGCAGCTAGTTATCACCACCCACCGCCAACTATTGGGGTACTCTTTCACCAACGAATAGTGGAATTGACCATCACATTATAATACTCCATAGCTGAAAGGGTGAGCATGTTTGGTGGGATGGGAATTCGAACTTGCAACCCTCAGATTGTGAAAATTGTATTTGGATGTCAAGAACAATTATACGGGCAGTATAAAGACAAACCAGTGAAAGTGTAAGTTTTAAAATATTGAATGATATTTAAATAAGCATCCTTTTCAGGATAGTTGTTAAAAGTAGGACTAAATATAGAAACTAAAAATATAATCAGTATATTAAAACACAATTTGTTGTCTTGTTCAATATTTATTACCACACTTTGTAAAAAATGAAAGCATTCAAATGTAAGTTGAAATATGTATGCCATCTTATAGAAGTATAGTAGCACCATCATCCTTTGTAAGTCACATGCACAATACATATTGTAAGATCATCTGCCTATAGGACCTTAGTAGCATTATCCACCTATAGAAAACCAATCGCCTTTGTAAAACATACTTAAATATATGAACATAAGTTGAAATCTGTATGCAATCCTAAGGAACACTATCTACCTATAATACCACAATTCACCTGAAAAACCTTGGTAACATCTTCCACTTATAGTATCAGATGCTCTGGTATCGAACTATGATATCAACCCTCGCAAAGATAGCTGCATCATCTGGTGTTGGTATATTACACAATAGTCATGTAACACTCGGGTGTATATTACGTAATAGTTACATAACACACAAACGGCATATTATAATTTTCTCGCAGCTGATGGCCCCCCACTGAGACAGCATCCTTTGGGTGCTTGAGTGACTCCTAACTACTTCTGTCTACTATGTATCCTGATGAAGATCTTGGCCAAATTCCTATGTCAGAAGTACAACAAAGGTTTCTGTCAACTTTCATGTGGGCAGGGATACAAAACATTCTAAGGTAGGTTCCATATATCAAGAATCCTGAAGAATATCTCTCATAAACTCCATCATCAGACAGGCAAGGGAACATTGCAAGCTAAACTCCATACATCATACGCTCCAAAGATTTCTTTCAACTTGTGGCAGGTATGCAGCAATCCATTTAAAGCCAATGTCCTTATATCATGTTTGCTGAAGAATATCTCTGCCAAGCTCCATATATCAGATTTATAAATAAACACACAGTACCAGCTATATTCTATACAACAGATATCTTGAACAAGGTATCAATCAGGCTTCGCATGGTAAATACCACAACGTGACCTCAGCCAGGATCCACACAGTACACATGCTGAATATGGTAACTGCCAAGCTACATACTGAAGATATCCTGAACTCTCCAAACAGTAGATCCTGAACATGATCTCAGCCAGGCTGTATATGTCAGACATACTGAACAAGGTACTAGCCAGGCTCCACACAGTAATATTCTAAACATGGTACAAATCACTACAATGAAAATACATGCTGAAAAAAATAGTCCTATATAGCTATTCAAAATTAATAGTTTAGTATCAGCATAAATTGGTACTTTTTTTAGCATCTGTTTGATAAGTGGACTTTAGCAACAGAATATTTAGTGAAGAAAGTGATATTTATTACAAACCAAACAACAACAAAAAAGCTACAGTACATTACTATTTTGATTTGCGATTCACAATGAATTACTAGAAAGTGTCAAGTTAGGGAATCAATTCTCCATTTTTTAAACTATTGTGAGGTTTAACTTAACATGTGAGTTATTAAGAGGTTGAAGTACTATAAATCAGAAAAGAATTAAAAATCTCAATTCATGAATATAATGATATACCCAAACATTTTTAGATTTTTTTTTTCTTCTTAAAAAACTTGAGAAACAAATGTTAAAACTACAGAGAGATTCTGCACTCCATAGTTTAGTAACAAATGTATCAGTCATTACAGTTTAAGTTATAGCTCTAAAACTTTCATGGATTTAACTGAAGTTAATAAAACAAATGTCTTAATCAGAAATAGCAGCTTCCAGTTTACATTGAACAAGAAAACTTGCATACGATATATACAACCTTGATGTAAGTAGAAAAAAATCACTGGTAATAAACCAAATGGACACATACATATATACATACATACACATCATATATAAAATAACTCAGCAGAACTGTTCACACAGTAACTACAAGATTGTAAAAGTGACATAAAATCAAGCAGAAAATTGTAACAAACAAATAATGCCAGTTTTTTATTCTAATGAATCCATACTGATATAACAATAACGTTGTCACACATTTCAAATATTCTACAAAGTCACACTTTTAAGATACTGTAATGTCTAGGAATATAAAAGTGTAACATACACTCTTCCATCATTTTACAGAGATAATTCAATCATGAGAACCTACTAACTTTGTGAAGAACATGTACTTCATACTGGATGATTACAGCACCTGATAAAAATTAAACAAATGATATTTTAATAGTTTCAACTTCTGCAGAATTAATATTAACTTAAGATCCCCCTAGTTTGTCACGTAAAGTGAAAAAAACGTTTCTTTCTTTTCTAATGTAATTTGTTTATTCAAATATAAGCATAAACATCTGAAGACATCTTAATAAATAATACAAGTAAGGTGACATCTGAAAGAAAACAACTTTCAGCTCTGATTATTTCAAACAGGACCTTAACATTTTACATGTAGACCCACACATTTCCTGATGAGTGACTGTTTTAATTTTACATGTAGACCCACACACACTTCCTGATGAGTGACTGTTGTAGTTTTACATGTAGACCCACACATTTCCTGATGAGTGACTGTTTTAGTTTTACACATAGACCCACACACTTCCTGATGAGTGACTGTTTTAGTTTTACACATAGACCCACACACTTCCTGATGAGTGACTGTTTTAGTTTTACACACAGACCCACCCACTTCCTGATGAGTGACTGTTTTAGTTTTACATGTAGACCCACATACTTCCTGATGAGTGACTGTTTTAGTTTTACACATAGACCCACACGCATCCTGATGAGTGACTGTTTTAGTTTTACACATAGACCCACACACTTCCTGATGAGTGACTGTTTTAGTTTTACACATAGACCCACACACTTTCTGTAATGAGTGTCTGTTTTAGTTTTACATGTATATCCACACATTTCTTGATAAGAGACTGATTTAGTTTTACATGTAGACTTCCAGACTAGTTGACAAGTGACTGTTTTAGTTTTACATGTAGACTTCCAGACTTGTTGATGAGTGACTGTTTTAGTTTTACATGTAGACTTCCAGACTTGTTGACGAGTGACTGTTTTAGTTTTACATGTAGACACACATTCACACTGAATTTATTGTAACAAATTACTGTCATTAAACACGTGGACACCATCAGATACACATTCACACTGAATTTATTGTAACTAATTACTGTCATTAAACACGTGGACACCATCAGATACACATTCACACTAAATTTATTGTAACTAATTACTGTCATTAAACACGTGGACAAATTAGTTACAATAAATTTAGTGTGAATGTGTATCTGATGGACTGTCATTAAACACGTGGACACCAGATACACATTCACACTGAATTTATTGTAACTAATTACTGTCATTAAACACGTGGACACCATCAGATACACATTCACACTCAATTTATTGTAACTAATTGCTGTCATTAAACACGTGGACACCATCAGATACACATTCACACTGAATTTATTGTAACTAATTACTGTCATTAAACACGTGGACACCATCAGATACACATTCACACTAAATTTATTGTAACTAATTACTGTCATTACACATGTGGACACCATCAACTTACATTTATCAACTTTTATTTTAAGCAGTCATACTTGCCAGATAAAATTATAGTTTAGCATGAATTAATATTCTGACATAATTAAAGCAGGAACTTAAGAAAAATCTGATATGTAACTAACTTTAATTTTTTATAACGGTCATCTTTCAACAGTAATACGGTTTTTACTTTCTACATGTTTAAACAAAGAAAATCTAAGCTGACTGCACAGGTCTAGCAACAATAAAACAGTGCAGACTTAAAACTGTCTAACTAGTCCTAATAAAAAACTGCACCGTTTCCATAACAGTGCTATGATATTGACGATACAAACTTGATTTACAACAGTCATAATCTTCTCTAAACTTAATGATAACACAAACTTGGTTTACAGTACTCCTCTAAGCTTTGTGTAAATCATCTACATCTCCTACACAAACTAACACAATATACTGTACATCTGTACCTTGAATAAGTCTAAGATAACCAAAGACCATGATGTACACATTACACCCTAAACTTAGTAACAACACAGACCATGATGTACACATTACACCCTAAACCTAGTAACACAGAGCTTGATGTGCACATTCCACCTCTAAACAGTTACATGCAACCCAAACTAATATTTTATAACAGATTTTTCCATCAAGCACAGTTTACTTGTTTCCTAACCAAGACAGTATTTATTGATCAGATCCACTGTAACAGTTTTATGAATTATGTGAATCTTAACGTAACACCTGAAGAGCATACACATCAGTTACTTTGATTCACATCTCAGTATGACACCCAAAGAGCATACACATCAGTTACTTTGATTCACATCTCAGTATGACACCCAAAGAGCATATACATCAAAGTTACTTTCATTCACATCTCAGTATGACACCCAAAAAGCATACATATCAAAGTTACTTTCATTCACATCTCAGTATGACACCCAAAGAGCATACAAATCAGTTACTTTCATTCACATCTCAGTATGACACCCAGAGCATACACATCAAAGTTACTTTCATTCACATCTCAGTATGACACCCAAAGAGCATACAAATCAGTTACTTTCATTTACATCTCAGTATGACACCCAAAGAGCATACAAATCAGTTACTTTCATTTACATCTCAGTATGACACCCAAAGAGCATACAAATCAGTTACTTTCATTTACATCTCAGTATGACACCCAGAGCATACACATCAGTTACTTTGATTCACATCTCAGTATGACCATACTTTTGATGAGTTGTTACTTTCACTTTGATATAATTAAATGTCACTAAATATTACTCATCTTGAAAGTCATACATCCCATTAACTAGTAGGGCTTTATGGAGAGGAAAAGATATTGTAAGGCACCTCTTATTCTTTCACTGATAAACAGTACAGAGATAGACTCTAATGTTAGTATTGAAACAAGACAAAACTATCATCTACAATATCATAAAATCAAATTTCTAAGTTCTTTAAACTACTTTCAATTTCTCAATAACTTCTTTTAAACTGACAGTTCTTTGTCAACAAGAAAAGTTTATGTGCAGGACTTTAAACTTTCATATGAGGACATTACAGCCTAGACTTATTCTGAGTAGTGTCCAACAAGTAAGACTGTAACACATTTAAGGGACAGAAATTTTTAACTGTGAACTATAATGTATGTATACTTTTCTTATTAATTCAACACACAGAAGAGGCATTTCTTAACATATGATGCTCATGGGAAGAAAATAACAAGTTAAGAATAATTTTTAGAACATTACATTATTGATATGCAAGAAAATAAAGGTTTAAATCTGTATTATAGAATAAAACAAACTTGAAAAGGGCTTGTTTTCATTCAGAAATGATTTATCCTAATATTGGCCATAAATCAAAAAATAACAACAGTATTAAGTTACATTTCTTGAAACAAAACAATAAGGGTATAAATATAATGCTTTGAACCACTATAAGCTCATTATTCACTACAAACATTCTGTAAAATTAAATGTTTTTCCTCTCCTGTTACAATCAGTATGAAAATCATTACTACTTGTATTTTATTACAGTTTTCCATTAATAACACTAAAAACTGATTCAGTATAGTTGATGATCATTTTCAGAAAATCATGACCTTCTGTTTAACAGCTCTGTTAATCCATTGAACTATTTACTTCAATTAAACTTTTAGAGCCTGCTCTACACTGCCACAGTATTACTTCAAAGATGGTGTTTATACATGATATAAAAAGTATGTCACAATGATGTAATAAAAAACTAAGTGCTAAAATATGTATTATAAGATCGAACTAAAAGCAAAGAGAAACATGGTTTTCAACAACTTGTTTTTTTTTTGTTCAGTCTTCAATCGTGGGGACGGGGATCATGAATGGGCATGGTATGAAGAACCTCATCTAAAAGCTGCAGTGCTCTGTGAAGGTGGATTTCAATCCAACAGGGCGTTTCCTTGATACTCTGACGAGGATAATCTGGACCCCAACCCTTGACGAAACTTAGTCTTAATATGCACAGACGACGCAGATCATCAACTCCTATGCTTGCAGCTGCTGACAAACCTAACATGGGACCTGAAAACGTTTAAAGCAAACCTGAATTTGGTGACATCTTAGATATTTCATTTTGTCAATATGGTCTGAAACTCTGAAATCACTTCAAGGAAATATTACAATTTTTAAACACCTACATTTTAATCACTAGAAGTTTATCACTTCAAGGAAATTTTACAATTTTTAAACACCTACATTTGAATTACTAGAAGCTTATCACTTCAAGGAAATATTACAATTTTTAAACACCTACATTTAAATTACTAGAAGTTTATCACTTCAAGGAAATATTACAATTTTTAAACACCTACATTTTAATTACTAGAAGTTTATCACTTCAAGGAAATATTACAATTTTTAAACACCTGAATTTTAATTACTAGAAGTTTATGATTTACAATTACAAATTATTATAGTAGAGGACATGGTATAGAAGATATTAATTTGTTGTGATGAATAGCGAAAAGTTTACTGATTACATAAGAACTACCATTCATACAGAAACAGTCCTTCCCATTGATAACACCATAGTTTTTAACACAAAAATTTTAAACGTATCTTGCTTTATTTTCTCACTAGTTAAATTCATTAAGAAAAGTGAAATAGTCCATGTTTTTTGAAGAAAACAAACTAGTATTTTATTATGAACTGTTAGATCAAATTTAGTTGCAAGAACCTTAAGTAATGAGAAATTTTATAAATTAACTGCTGAGAATTTTCTACAACCACGAACCACTTTTATGCTTCCCAATTCTTCAATAAGCGATAACAATTCTGAAATGTATAATGGTCTTTTGATTGAAAACAAAAAGTTCTAACTACATTTCACAAAAAGAGACAAGTACAGCTTGGAATAATAAAAGCAATTTAAATCATTCAAACCTCTTTCTTACCATAGGTACATTTAGAAACTCTGGTGATGTTTCTTGAGAACTTGAGTAGCAAATATGACAGTATAACATTTACTGTTGAACACCAGCAAGATCGTGAACTTTCATTTCTTACACATAGGTTTATAACAGTAATGGCCACTTTCTACGTGAAGTATACCACAAAAAACATTTACTGGCTTGTATTCTAACTTTGCAGGTTTTGTAGCAAATGTTTTTAAAGAAAACTTGGGTAGAATTTTGTTCCATTGTGAATATAAAATATCTTGTACTTATGTACCAATGGTTTCCATATTTATGTCACTGATAAAACACTTTATAACTATTTGAGTGTGTGTTTTAAAGCAAAGCCCCATTGGACTATATTCTGTGTCCACTGCAGGAAATCAAACCCCAGATTATAATGTTGCAAGTCTATACACTTACTGCTGTCCCACCAATGGACATTTATCTATTTGAACAAGTGAAGTTTTAGTAACCCATCCATATACGCAATTACAAAACATGCTGTTATTATTACTTTGTCAGATATGAGTAAATACTCTTTATTTATTAAAAAAATAATAAAAGTAATTCGTGGCTTACATCCTTAAATCAGTTAACCCTTTCGAGATGGGTCATAGGTGAAAGACCATGTCATCTCGTTTGTTGACTCGCATTCAAAATTTTATTAAACTACTATTTCATGAATTTATGTCAATAAATTTGGTATCAAACTGTAGATTATAATTCAAATTTTAGAACTATACATTGCTCAATTTGTTAATTTAAAAGTAAATATTAAAAAAACACAGATAAACATCGATATTCGTGTCAAGTGGTATGTTGAATACACCACTGGTTCAAATTAGATGTTTGTGATATCAAAATACTAAGTCTATAGTTTCCACTTGTACTCATTATAGTTTACGAACTTTTAATATATTACATGTATCTTCACAAAATTTGGTAGACTTGTAGTAAAAGTTACAAGTCTTTGCACACAAAAAAATCAGATTTTTTAACAAAGTATTTTTACTAATATTTGTCCGTGAAAATATCAATTCTTTTTTTTTTAACTAGTCCACGTGCACAGTGATTTTCATGTGAAGATTTAAAATACTTTTCTTTGTCTCAAAATCTCAAATTTCATTTACGTAACCTCAAAACCTCCTAAATACATATATAACTTGTTTTATCAGTAAAACGTTATATTTTATGTTTATTACTTGATTCTTCAGTCTGTAGACAACTCATTATAGTATAATGAAAAGAAAAAAATTGTAAAATCAGAAACACAATGAGTAGCTGTTTCCTTTTACTTCATTACTGATCATGAAGTTTCAAAGTACTTACCCTGAGAGTTAACTGCTAAACATATCCCATATATATATTTTCTGTGTTTATTTTATTGTCAATGACTAAAGTAGAAACCCACTGAAGATCACTGTTCATGTTACTAGACTGTAATAGGAAACTCTTGATAGCAACAAATGCACATGGAAATCTGTGAAGTAGCATGCTCCCTTGCTCCGAAAACATAATATGATGGGACTTAGCGGCTTATGTTTCCTACAACACTTACAATACATCTATAAATTCCCATTCATTCATACAGCTTTTTCTGTGTACAACTTTATGTATTTGTTTTTGATTCATGAAATTTAAAATAATATGATGGGACTTAGTGGCTTATGTTTCCTACAAAACTTACAATATATCTATAAATTCCCATTCATTCATACAGCTTTTTCTGTGTACAACTTTATGTATTTGTTTTTGATTCATGAAATTTGTATGTGCATTATTCCTCTTAGGCATATATAAAGAGTTTTATTCTGTTTACAACTTTATGTATATGTTTCTGATTCAAGCAATTTGTAAATCCATTATTCCTTTTATGCATGTATAAACATTTGTGCATAATATTATTTCCTGATACTTGTAAATTATTTTACTTTTCTAAATGTTATGAATAAACTTGTTTTAAAGTTGTCAAGTTTCGATTGGTGTATAATTTGGTTTTAACTTACCTCAGTTTAGACAATTAGAATAACACAAATTCAGTGGGCATAACTATGTATTGGCCTATAATGTAACTATAATACAAGTATACTGAAAATTACAGTGATACTTCTGCTACCATACATATGTAAATATACATATTACTATTTACTCATAAATGTTTAAATTTTAGTTATATTTCTTAAAACATAGAAAGTAAATGAGAAATACACTGAAAAACAAAGATTTCAAGTATATAACTGTGTTACAAAATGTTGAGCTCATGCATCAAACGTGTTAAGCCTTGCCATAAGCCTCGTTTATCCTTCTGGGTGTATAGATACTAATTTTTGTAAGCTTCACATATTAATTTTTGAAAACCAAAAAGTTATCAAATTAATGTATTAGTAGACAAAATCCCTGTAATTTAGTTGGGTCTCTCGATAAATTATATGTGGGTTAAAAAAATTCATGTAATTTAGTCGGGTCTCTAAATAAATTATATGTGGGTTAAAAAAATCCCTGTAATTTAGTTGGGTCTCTAAATAAATTATATGTGGGTTAAAAAAATCCCTGTCATTTAGTTGGGTGTCTAAATAAATTATATGTGGGTTAAAAAAATCCCTGTAATTTAGTCGGGTCTCTAAATAAATTATATGTGGGTTAAAAAAATCCCTGTAATTTAGTCGGGTCTCTAAATAAATTATATGTGGGTTAAAAAAAATCCCTGTAATTTAGTTGGGTCTCTAAATAAATTATATGTGAGTT